CCCCAAAACCCCAAAACCCCAAAACCCCAAATGCATAGCATAGTATATTTCTCGAATGATAATTAAAGATTAATCTTCTAGATCAATTAGTTAAAGAATAATTAATTAAAATAAGTATTTCATTTTAGGATTATAAATGACAGAGAAAGCGAAGAATCATAAAAAGTACAAATAAAAAACATATCAAATAACTTTTAATAAATTATTATTGCTTTAGAGACAAGATATCTGATTAGAGTTCAATAGGATCATATGAAGAGGGTACTTAGTCATCAACAATGGAGATAATAATCGATAAATCAGCAGTATCGAAACGAAAGTCTCATAAGCATTCTAATTAAGATGGATCATAGAGTGAGATTAGTGATACTGATCATGAATTGTAAATGAAAAAAACCAGCTAAAGCAATAGTAAAGGTGCTTAAGCATAATCAAAGAAGGATTTACCATTAGATTACAAGAAGATTTCTGAGACAATCCTAGTCTATGTTACTATTATGTGCAGTTTTGCTATAGTTGAAGGTATGATTGGAATCACTCACACAAACGTTCATCTTGTTAGAGATTTCCTAAATAGTTTTCTCATGATATCTGCCCTTGTATTTAGTTCAAAGGCTTTGGAACTGTCTTTAAACAAGGAAGATGAAGACTATGAATACGGATATAGGAGATTCAATATATTAGCTGCCTTTGTGAATTCAGTGTACCTCATGTTTAGCTTCATGTTTAACTTTGTTGATAACCTGCATCATATGGTTGAGCATTGGGAAGTTGATTCTCATAAAGGATTAAATTCAACATTAGCTTTTGATTCTAATAATAGTACATGGTAATCAGCCAATGATCATAATACTAATCATACTTTAGGAGATGGTCACTCTCACGCAACTTTGCATGTAGCCCATAACGACTAGCAACACATGAAGGAGATGAATCAATACCTGACTTTATTTACATTTCTAAGAATGTGCTGTCTCGGAGGATATCTGTATTTTGAGTCAATGAATCACAATGTTCACGACTACATGACAGTTAATTGGATTAACTGGCCTAAAACATCTAATATAACAGCGTTTAAGAGGCGAGTCAAGGAGTGCTCTAAATGGGATTCATATAGAATAAATGTGTATTCGATCTCTTTACTGGTATCTTGTGAATTTTTGAATTGCGTCGGTAATATCTGGGTCTATTATCTTTGCATGAACTTTGGAATACTAGAGAATATTTTGTCAATTTTGAAAGGCATTATCATAATCACAGCATCTGTTCCACTCTGTCTAGATCTATGCTTTACATTGCTGCAAAGAATAAATCCTTCATAACTTGGATATCTAATAGAGGATAAACTAAGAAGGATAGGATATATGGAGGGAGTAATCAGTGTAAAGTAATGGAATGTCTGGTGCCTTGACAAAAGTCATAGAGTGTGTTCTCTGACAGTCATGATTTCAGAAAATGCAGACCCAGATATGATCAGGAGGATCATTAAGTAGAAACTAGTGAATAAATATTGTGAAAAATTGTATGTGCACATCGTATAATGAATAGTAGAGATCATTAGATAGATTCATTAAATTTATCCCTTTAATTTACAAAACATTTATCTTGTTTTACCTAAGAATTTATTTACCATATTCTATCAATCCAAAAGGGGTTTTGGGGTTTTGGGGG